GATAACACCTACCCTTCAGTCCCACCGCGACGGTTTCCCAGGCCCTACCCTTGTTGCCAGGACCCCATCACCCACCTCGGCAATAGTACGATCCCCCCTAATGTCGATATTACGCAGATACTCTGCGACACGCCTTCCGACCCCCCATCCCCAAAGGCTTCCCCACTAACTTCCATACTTCACCGGCATATCTCTCTACGGTCCCGCCCAGTGCGCCGCTCTATGCCCACACCAGTCCCCTGTCCAACACCCCCACCTCGCGTCGTGTAGATTCATCTCGGATGTTACATTTCCGTGATTTCATCGAGCGAGTACCTCATCAATAGCCTATTATTTGAATCATACCGGCATAAGGATAGTTTTACAGCATGGACGACGTGCAGTGTGTGCACCGCTAGCACTAGTCTTGCTAATTTTTAGAAATAATTGTATTACCTTCTTCATACAGCGCACTATCAGTAAGAGGCGCTACACTCCGATATATACATTCGTAGTGTCAGCCGCTTCCAACGGCCCATTACTGACGCTGTAAATAACCGCACTCCCTAACCGTTTCACGCCGCTATGCCGGCTGGCCCGCTTATGACATAGTGTCATGTATTATGCTTGTTCATTGATGTTGTCAGGACCATGTTGTCCACAATGGTCACGACGGGCGGGATGGGCTGCCGCCGTCCGCGCCGCAATCTCCACCGCCAGCGGGTGTCGGCGTCGCCTGCACCTGCGCCCTCTGTCTCGGCGCCATCTGCAACTGCGCCGATTGCCGCGGCGCTGCCCGCGCTTGCATCGTCTGCTCAGCGGCCGCTGTCGCCTACACCCGTGCTGCGGCCACCTGCGAGTGCGCCACCTGCATCGTCGGTGCGGCCAACGCTACCTTCAACAACCGCGACTGCGTCGTCCCCTTCTGCGACTGCGCCGCCTGCGCCGCCGCAGTCTGCCAGGAGTCACGCATATATTTTTATTATTAATATCAAATGGTACTTAAATTATGATACATGTTTATTCCCTGCTGTCTCTGAAATGGAAACGCATTTATTTCATTGCTATATATCAATATATATATGCTTTGCAAGTTCATTACATGTATGTCTGAGTGTGCATTTCTGTTGTATTAGAATTAAAATTTCTGAAGGGTACCACTACTTCGAAACATGGCTAAAAGAATTGGAAGGTTTGTTTGACCTTTGATAGCTCATTGGCTTTTACTTCGTCCCCGGGTGGGGTGGGGCACTCACCCCACATTATGGTAGGTATGTGCCACTGCGAAGTCAAAAATGGGGGGCTCTGGAACTAACTCAGACCTGAAAAGGGGGGTCTTTGGAACTAATGTTTGTTGAATGTGGGATGCTCTGGAACTAGCTCCAGATACGATAACAACGGCCACCACCATGACCAGTGACACCCCCGAGTGGCACAGGCACTGCGTTCCGGCTGCCGACACTGACATGACGATGACAGAAGTGCTGCACTCGATGTATGCATGAGAATCAAATGGGAAATGTTAAAAACTAGGGTCTCCGGAATGGCGAAAATGTAAGATCTGCATGGTAACTAAACTTATGATGCTCTGGAACGAGATATTCTTAAAAATGTGATGCACTGGAACGGACATTTAGGGTTGAAAATGGGGGTCTCTCCCGCGGCACATACCAGGTAACCTACCATGCAATATATATGGAGTGCCCCCCCCCATGAATTCGTCAGCCTAAAGTACACAACTAAACCAAATGGAACGTGTGGTTTGTATTTCATTGCCAAAAGAAAGGGTAGGTAAAATATTTCAATACTTCCTATATTAAATTATAATTCTCCTTTCTTATTACAGAAATTAATTGCTTCCAACTGACATCATCAAGACAGCGAAGATTTCTAGCATGGCAGACGACTTGTTGAGACGTTAGCTGTAAAAATGGACAATTGCCTTTAACCCGCTGTATTGACTTGTTTAGACGTTAGCTCTAATGAAAGTGTCAATGACACTGTAGCTCACCTTGGGTGTGATAGAAGACGGGGGGATATATAAAGCAAGAGTTATATATGAGAGAACTCCCATTATTATAGCATATCTCCCATTATATACTCTTGATAATGATATATGCACAAGTTTCATATATATCACAAGTTTTGATGCGAAAATAAATGTTTCAGATCTGAAAGTCTGAATTATTGACGAGAGATGGCGCTATCGCCTAAATGATCGCCATTTTGGTTTTTCAAATATCGCGCAAAATAAAAACAATAAAATATTCCAGTCAATTTACTGTAACGAAGAATCTAAACAAGTGCCGCATAGCGACAGCGCTCATCTAACGTCTACTGCGGTGACCTGTGGTGGAGTGGTGGATTCTAGTAAACCCTGTTAGTCCCAAATGTGTTCACATACACGCCGAAATAGTGGAATCCACAGAGATGGTATCAGGAACCCTTCTCAAAAGAATGTCGTTGGATCGTTTATGAAAGTGTGCACGAGATGGCGTGTACGTTTAAGTGTCTTCAGATTAAAGATGGAAGCTCCCATCATTCGTAGTAGCAACAACTATTTGCAAGACAGAATCTAGTTAAGCACTCATCCATTTACCTACGAAAGGCCTACAGGCTGCAAATTGCAATAGAAGAGGCTGCCACCTGTAACAATTAATGCTACGGCAAACACTGCCCAACACATGCACAGCCACTGGCAGTGGCATACGTGACATGTTAACCAACTGACAGTAACAGAATGCACATAGAAATTATACGATTTAAGGAATATAACACCTTCTTTAACCAAATTTAGCTTTTGAAATTTCACTGTGACATTGTAGCCTCATACATCCAGGCATGTATAGATTCTACTAGCAAACCCGGCAGTCAAATTCTTTCTAACAGACAGCTCAACAAATCCATGTTTAACCCTCCTCTGAGGTAGGGGGGAGGACGGTAGGGGGAGGGGTGGTGGGAAGGGGTGGGGAGGGGGTGGGGAGGGGGAAGGGAGGGTGGGGGGAGGAGGCTCTAATAGCAAAAGCAGCTTCACTCCTTTGTTAACAGTCAACAAATCCATGTTTAACCCTCCTCTTGAGGGTCAAAAGGTTATCCGAACACTTTACTCTTGCATGTCAGCTGAAGGGACATTCTATGGTCCTTCAATTAAAGCCATAAAAATGCTAAGTCACCGCTGAAACAAAAAAGTTTTTCAATCGCTCCGTCAGACCATGTCCTCAGAAAATGTGTCTAAAAATCTGCCCTGTGCCCACTGACCTTTGACTGTGACTCTCATTTCGGCCACAGTGATGGCCTTTCCTACCATGATGCTATACACCGACTATCACGAGCCTAGGTCGAGCCGTTTAGATTTGTGCCGCAATTATGATTCCTCCCTATACTTAAGTAATGGAGTGAATGTTCCCCCTTCTTTTACACCTCTTGACCTTGACCTTTGACCCCCCAGCTTCGACATCCCAACTCGTTTTGACGATCCCCCCCGATGTGGCCGATATCGTGACCGTACGTCGAGGTTAAGATGTGCCCAACTGTTGACGCACGGACGGACGCCGGAGGACGCACGGACGGACGGACGATCAAGCGATTCTACAAGCTGCATCTGACTATGTCAGATGAGCTAAACACAATATTTACACGTATATAGGTATTATTGTTAACAAATTTAACAAAATTGAATGAAATTAGATGCCCATTTTTCATTTTTGCCAAAAAAGTGGGCGTGGCTCGAAAGTAGTCGACTGCGGTGCTCCAAAATAGGAAGTTCAAACCTCTCCATAGGAGTAACAACTGCATGCATTTGAAACATTGTGGGTCAAACGGTTCTTGAGTTATCTTGACCGTAGGCAGACACTGAAATGCCATAGTGAAATAACCAAAATCGACCTAATTGCATAATTAAAAAATATCAAAACCTGTGTGTGATATGTTTTGGGGCCAGTCCTCATTCATTCACATACCAGAAATGAGCAAAATCCATTGAACCTGAACTGACTTATGGCCATTTCCATTTTTGCCAAAAAGTGGACGTGGCTCGAATGTAGGTCAACTGCGGTGCTCCAAAATAGGACGCTCAACTCTCCCATAGGAGCTAACAACTAATAGGCAATGTGGGTCAAATTGTTCTTGAGTTATCGTTGACCGTTAGGCAGACACTGAAAATGCATAGTGAAATTGCCAAAATCTACCTAATGTTGATAATTAAAAAAAATCAAACCTGTGTGATATGTTTTGGGGCCAGTCCTCATTCATTCACATACCAGAAATGAGCAAATCCATTGAACCTGCAATATGACATTCATTTTTGCCAAAGTGGACGTGGCTCGAAGATTTGAATGTAGGTTGACGGGCGTGCTCCAAAAAGGACGTTCCAACCCTCTCCATAGGAGTAACAAACTATATGCAATTTGAAACATGTGGGTCAAACGGTTCTTGATTATCGTGAACGTAGCCAAATGTTGAACGGACGCGACGGACGACGGACGACACCCATATGGCAATACCTCATCTTGACAATGTCGTAGCGGCTAGATAATCTAGATATTAATATCGCGGCCACCGACCTCACACCCGTAACACCAGCCCCAGTCAAGACCTGTCGCACTTACACACCCCTTTCAGACGCCATAACAATACAAAGCTACCAACCACCCTGCTCGCCAAGACCTCAGTCGCTATTTCCAGTATGCGCCTAACCATTCTCGAACCACAGCAGCGAATGGGTTCCTTCGACCCGATTAGCATTTTTATATCACCATGAAGTATGGCTATATACTATATAGTTGATTTGGGACTACTATAGCACAGTCTTACCACAGTGGTTGCACTGTACATTGAAGTTCCTTTATGTCTTTGTGTTGTTTTTGCTCCTATTTGTCTTAGAACCATATAGATTCGATTGTATGCCATGCTGGTTTTGCTAGTCTACTACTTCAGTGTAAATGACTATAAACGCACTACCCAACTTGATGAATGACCAGGAAACTCTTGCCTATGGCTACAGTCGAAATTGCAGCATTAGCATTTATCTCACATCTAATTTACCATCAGCATTCAGTTGTTTGGCAGTCATCTCATAAGGTTTCATCGTGTTCTCTCCCCAGACTCTACTGTGATACTCACAAACTGAAGGCGGTCTCACAGGCCGACTTTGGTAAGATTATAAAGTCGGTGCTGCCAAACATTAAGCCGCGGAGGCTCGGCAACCGCGGCAACTCAAAGTACTGCTACGCTGGCCTACGCAAGACGATCGACATGAAAGTTCCCAGTCTGCCACCGATCCACATTCCTTCCTCTGCAGCTGCTGCTGTGAGTGTCGATTTGGAGCAACTCTGTTATTCATTATCGGTTCCAAGGCAGTCTTGCTTCAAAGCCGGTAGAGACTATAATTCGAAGTTTCTTAAAATTGGGGGGAAAAACTTTGCTTTTGTGGTGGAAACACACAAACAGGTTATTCGAATCCAGTTGGATTAGTTAGTGAAGCATCTACCCAGTATGTACTTATTAGCATCTATAGTCTCTACAATACTCTACGACATCTATACAGGCCTATATATACGTGTGTCTGTGTGTGTGCGTTTGCATGTACGTGAACGAGTGTGTGTGTGTGTGTGTGTTCGTGTGCGAGTGCGCGTGTGCACGCATGCGTGTGTGTCTGTGTGTGCACATGTGTGCATGCGTGGGTTCATGTGAAAATACTATAATAAAGTATCAACTTTATGATGCATTTCACTGCGGGATGTGGTGTTAGTTGCACTAACATTACTATCACAGTTGTGTCATGACGTGCTTCATCCTCTATCCAAGGCTGAGCGGGAGCTGAGCGTGGCTGCATCGACCGTGATCTCGGAATGGGCGGCGAAGCAGCTTGGCCGGTCGTTCACTAGCCTGCAGCACATAGCCGTCCACCTCATCTCAAACATGTACGTCGACGACCGTTCAATGGCCGCCTTCACCGTGCTCAACGCATCCGGCGGAGAGGAGGCGAAAGCATCGCATATCGCTGCAGCGACGACGGACGCTTGCAAGTCGGCTCCAGGTAATTGGGTGTACGTGCGGGAATCAGGAGAGTACTGGAAAGTCACAAAATTGTAAAATGGCGATTCCGGGGACTGGATAGTCCAGGACTATGGTTTCAGACAGTCCTGGAAAGTAGCAGAATTTTAAAATGGCAAGCTCTAGGCCCACATAGTCCTGTGATGTTGGCTATGGTTGTAGAAAGTCCTGAGAAATAGGCTATTATTTTGTTTGATCCTGAAAGGTTCTGGCAATCGAGTGCATGTCTGTTGTGTCCACATTTTACCAGCGGTGATAACAAGTTTATTGTACTGAGGAAAGATCCCAGTTTACAGTCTGGGAGGCGAAAACTAGAGGCAAGATTTTTTGTACACAAATTGTTGACGTGATGGTACGTACAACATACGAATATTTGACTTCATTTAAATTGTGGGATCTTGGAAAATGGAACTTTGGAGTCTAGGCAGTTCTGTAAAAAATATTTTGCTTTAGTCATAGAAACCCCAGGTAACTGAGCGGGAATCGGCCCATAAAGTCAACAGTTATCTCTCAGCCTTCACTTACCTGTCATTAACAAAGAAGTCTGTTGTAATATAAGTGGCCTACCCATCTGAGTGTGATAACCACGCCCCCTTGTTCGATATTGTTTTTAGGTCAGTCAAGCTAGACCAGTTTGCATGTGTTTTTCATGCATGCACACCATGTTGTCTAATTTGTAGCACTTTACTGCTAAAAGGCATTTTAGAATGCTCCTATCACCACATTAATTGGCTAAAGCTACGTGTCAGTCACTCCATGCCGATAGATCTATTTGATATCTCTTTTTTACGAGACAGGAGTGAAAAGACGCGTCAAATGCCAAACCCCGGTGTGGTGCAGTTCATGATGGCATGGTGGCTGTTATTTCTTAGCAGTTGTGCCAGAATAGTGGTTCTCTCAGTTACATCTCATTCTCAATTATATACTTAATAAAGCAACGAACATTCAATAATTAAATAGCATTCATTAATAAACATAACATTGTTTGAATGCATACTATTTCAGTTATTAGTATTTTGATTACAATATATGTCCATACTATGCCAGCTAAAATACCATTTACACATGAAACATGCACATGTGTTTCGAGAGAGCGGCCGAGGATAAGCCCCTGAAAGAGCAGATGTCACACGCGTACGGTTTCTCGCCTGTGTGCGTTAGCGCGTGCTTCTTCAGGCTGCCGCGGGAGCAAGTCCTGTACTTGCACGCGTTACATGCATAAGATTTCTGGGCCGTGTGCGTGCGCACGTGGCTCTTGAGATCCCCCAGCCGAGAACTCCTGTACTCGCATAC